ATCCACTGGGAAATTTCCTGACAGAAAGAAAACACAAATTAATTGAATGCCAAAATTTTACAAAGCTACAGAAATAGTTCCAAAATACATTGGCCCAGGAAGTAGTTCCATCACAGGAATCAGTCAGAGACTCAGTTAAACATTGTAAATACATTTTTCTGGCCTCTATGTATGGTTCATGGGGAAATTAAGACTCAATGGCTTAAAATATAAAAGCAGAAGCGGTCCATCCAGCCCACTGAGTCGCTCTACCATTCAATGAGATTATGGTTGATCTGATAATCCTGAACTTCAATTGTGTGTCGTTTCCCCATAACCCTTCATTCCCTTTTCAATAAAAAATAGTCTCAGTCTTAAATATACTTAACAACCTGGCCTCTATAACCTTTTATTATAAAGAATTCCACAAAAGCATTATCCTTCAGAGAAGACATGTTATCTTCTCTCAGTCTTAATAGTAAGGGATCCCCATTGAGATTCTAGTCCTTGGTCCGAACCCTTCTCACAATGGGAAGGCAACCTTTCCTGTCAAGTCCCCTAAGAACCTTGTATATTTCAATAAGGTTGTCTCTCATTCTTCTAAATTCCAACAAGTACAGGCCCAACTTCTTCCATACCCAGTAACAGCCTGGTAAACCTTATGCTGACTGCCTCCAATGAGGGCATATTTTCCCTTAGGTAACAGGGTCCAAAACTATCCACCATACTCCAGCTGTGGTCTAGTTTTATTAAGACTTTCCTCTTTTGATACTTCATTCCCTTTGGAATAAATACAATTTGTCTTCCCTATCACTTGCTGAATTGTATTCTGGTTTTTGAGATTTATGCAGGAGGACTCCAAATCCCTTTGTGCTGTAGCTGTCTGCACTCTTTTCTCCATTTAACTGATATTCAGCTCTTCTATTCTTCCTGTCAAGGTGCATTATCTCACATTTTCTCCACAGTATATTCCTTCTGTCTAAATCCCTCAGCAGACACTGTATTCTCCTTACCATCTGTCTTCCCAACTATCTCTGTGCTATCTGCGAACTTTGTTATTTTACATTCATTTTCCTTATTCAAGTCAATATTGTTGCCCCAATGATCTCTGTGGCATTCCCTTGGTTACAAATTACCAACCTTAAAATTGCCCCCTTTGTCCCAACTCTGTCTTCAATTAGTTAGCCAATCCTCTATCCACGTTAATACACCATCTCCAACAGCATGGGTTCTTATCTTATCAAGCAGCCTAATAACATGGTACTTTATTAAACGCTTTCTGAAAATCCAAATATATTTTATGTATATAACATGACATCAGTCTTTGCATTTCCACATGCCTTTAAGTTACCTTACATTTTTGTTTTTTTTCATTTCAGTAAATTGTACAAAAAAAGTACAGATTACAGCTAATTTCTGAATGGCAGAACAAAAACCGAAAGAACTGTGAATGCTGCAAATCAGGAACAAAAACAGAAGTTGCTGGAAAAGCTCAGCCAGTCTGGCAGCATCTGATAAGGAAAAAATCAGAGTTAATGTTTCGGGTCAGGTGACCCTTCCTCAGAACTGATGGTAGCTGGGAAAACTTCAGTTTATATTGCAGAAAATAGGGAAGGGGATGGGTTAGGGAGTAAGTGATAGGATAAAGGATTGAGCCCGGAGAGAGAGAAGAGCAGTTGGCAACAATCTGGCGAGCAGACTGTTAACGGGCACTGTTAGTCACTAACACTAACTCCCTATTTTCTGCATATAAACCGACGTTTTCCCAGCTACCATCAGTTCTGAGGAAGAGTCACCGGACCTGAAACATGAACTCTGATGTTTTCTTCACAAATGCCACCAGACCTGCTGTTCTGAATGGCAGATGTAGGTGATGCAAACTGAGACATACAAGTTAAGGGGAGAAAATCTACCTGTGATGTGAGGTTGGTTTTACTGATTCCACTTTCTTTTCTGCTTCGCCTGGATCCAGTCAACTTTGACAGGCCAAATCCACTGCTCACACGTGATAGTTTTGATTGTGCTGCAGGAGCTATAGTTGCTTCTCCTCTACTAATACACTTCTTCTCATGGGCTACCCAAGACAGAAACAAAGTAAAAACACATCACATTTCCACGAGTTTTAATAGCAGGTAAACATACAAGAGTGTTCCACTAATCCTTGTACACAAGCACTATAAAAGTTAAATAAACACAGAAATCAAAAAATAATCTATAAATATCTGAACCATATTATTTCAACAATAGTTTCCATTATCAGAGGAGATAGAAAAGAACAATAAATATTTACAACTCGTCCTACCACAAACAATTTATGCAAAAATATGACAATCTGGGTAAAGATGAAAAGGCAAAATATAGTGAATGCTGAAAGTCTAAAACGAAAATGTTGAAAATATTCAGCAATGTTAAGCATCTGTGGTGACAGAACCAGAGCTAACATTTCAGGTCAATGACAAGTTGGCAAAATTAGGTCAACATGATCTTTGTCCAATGAATGAAAGAGCCCCATCAGAACATTACTTTGGACAATTCATCTTGGCAACTGTCAACAGTCAAAAACCAAATGTAAACAAAAACTGTGAATGCTGGAAATCTGAAGCAAAAACAGAAAATACGAGAGAAACTCAGCAGGTCTGGCAGCATCTGTAGAGAAACAGACGACGTTTTGAGCCCAGTGACCTTTCATCAGTTAATTAATGCTCTCTGAGTGTTAAATGGCCGTGAGCCAGCTGCAATTGGTGGTGTTCCCTGCTGACTTTTTGGGGAGCAGGGAGGGAAACTTTGCTATTCAAAAAATCTCAGCCTTTATGTGGCAATTTCATTCAGAAGCTTCAAGAACAGCTAATGAATGAACAAGAAAAGTTACAATAGTGTGACTGTGCTACACTTTGAAGGTTGATATAACCTTTGCATCAGGCAAGGGTCAAGGGTGATTCCTTGAAAATCTCTTTTGAAAGCTACGCTCAAGGGAAAAAAAAAACTTAAGTCTGAGAATCAGGGGAAACCGTCACCTGCTAGAATCATATTAAGTGCAAAGGAAGATCATCTTAGCTTCGGGATGTCATTGCAGGAATTCCTCAGGACAATATCTGAAGTCCAACTATCCTCGATTACTTGATCTGAACCTCCCTTCATTATAAGATCAGAAATACCATTTTTGCCAGTAATTTAAGCACTTGGTTCCATTTGCAATTTCTAAGATATGAAGCATTCCATGCTGCCATTCAACACGGCCTGAAGAACATTCAAGTTTGGACTTAAGTTATAAACACACAAGTGCCAGGCAATAACCATCACAAATGAGAGAGAATCAGGACAAAGCAGTTGACGTGACTGACCATGCACCACCTTAATCATGTTCTCCACGTGGCAAACTGCAGCTACAATATGTATCAACAAGGTACGCTGCAGCAATTCAACAAGGTTTTCTCATGGCACCTCTACTGCCTGGAAGAACAAAGATAGCAGGTTCATGGGAAAACCGTCGCGTGCAAGTTCTCCTCTGTTGGCCAGGGGCTACTCACACAAAAACAGCTGCTTGTGAACTGAAGTTGCCTGAGCCCAAGCTGCTGCTGGCCTGAACTGGTTCAACTCAGAGGAAATGACAAAGTGCAGATCCTTATTTGGAGGAAGAATAATGAGGTAATCCTAATGGTGTCCTTGGAGAGAGCCTATAGTGGAAAGACAATGGCTCATCAGATGAGCTAAGAACCAAGAAGGATAAGACACCACAGTTCAGGAAGATACGGAAAACGGATAAAAACGAAGGATTTCTGTGGGTGTCAACAGCAAAAACTCTGGAGATCAACCTTCAAGAAGTGGAGTACCTCATGCTTGGAAGCGTGGAGATAACACGGAGGGGAAATTGCCTGGCCAGCGTGAGCACCCATTCTTGGGTTTTAACCTTTATTTTTGTTGACCGTTCAGGGAGCGTCATGGAAACTTAATGAGTGTGCACCTATATTTTAGCCTTGTATGAATTGCATGCCAGTTGTTAATGTTTTCTTAACTTAACGATATGAACTGTATGTCTGTTTTAACTAAACTAATAAAGTTGGTGGTTAGTCGATAAAGACTTGACTCTTGTCCTCTTTGTGCAGAGTCAATAACTGTCGTCTAGGGAGGTAACTGAACAACACCTCGAAGTCTCACACAATCCTGACTTGGAAAGATCTTTCCTTAATTGTTGCTGCATCAAACCCTTGAATACCTCACCTAACAATACTATTGATGTACCAACACCAGATCAATTACAGCAGCTTAATAATGTGGCTCACCACCACTATTTCAAGCATAATTTAGGATGGACAATTAAAAGAAGTCTACAAATGTTGCTATGCTATCAGCTTAAGGGGTGATAATCATCAGTAAGAGCACTTCTTACAAATCTGTTGTAATGTATTGGAAACAAAACCAGTAAAAAGATATGCAATACTGAACAGGATTGTTTGCAGCACAGAAATCCTTATAAAAGGCATCACCAAGAAAGCCATTTCCAAGAATCTTCTTAGA